CGCCAGACTCCAAGCGGGGGCCAGAGGGAGGGCAGGAGGACCCAGAACACGGTCCCCAGGCCCCGGAACCGCGGGACTTCGGACTTGTGCAACTGTTGCCACTTTGGGATCGGGTGTTTCGCTGCTGGAGCGACTACCCTGGCAGCCTGCGGTGTAGGCTCGCGTCCCCCTCGGCTTCCCGCGTCTAGCGGCCGCCGCCGCTCCGAGGCGGCCCGGCGCGCACTCAGCACCATGAGGACACTTGGGACTTGCCTGGTGACTTTGGCTGGACTTTTGCTAACTGCGGCCGGGGAGACGTTTTCAGGTAAGCCGGCCGCCCCTGCCGTTGCCAGGGTGCATGGGACGTAAGCGTTCCCCGGGTGGGAGAGTCCGAGGCGAGCTTCGGGGCCGGGTTGGGGCGCGCAGGACCCGGCATCGCTTAGCGGGTGAGCCGGGCTGGCCGATGGCCGGAGGCAAAGCAGCCGCCGCCGAGCCCCGAAGACCCGTGCAGCGCACGCTGCAGCCCGCAGGACAAGCCAGGAGCCCGGACCCCCATCTCGGCCCCTGTCACCTCAGGGCCTGGACTTGTGCTCCGGGCTCCGAGTCCCTGGGCCGCCCGGGCAGGAGCGGCAGAAAACTTTGCCTGAAGTTCCCAGCTGCAGCCGCCGGGAGTAGGCGCTGCGCGGGCCTCTCGACCCCGGTGGCGGCGGGCATGGGCTTCGGGTGCTTGGCTGCGCCCGCGGCGATCTCCGGAACCCGTGGTATAGCGGGCGTTCTCCCGAAGCCTGACCTCCCTGCTGCCCCCTGCCCGGCTCGGTGGGCGACCTCCGCGGGTCCCCGCGGTTGCGCGGCTACGCTGTGACAGCGGTTCCCTATCTGCGCCGCGGGAGGTCTCCGCGACCCTAGAGGAATCTGTAGCTCCCCTAGCCCTGGCCACTGTGGCTGGGCGCCCGGAACCCAGCCTCGGCCTCCCTACTGGAGGGCTGCCGCGGTTCCCAAGTGACACACAGAGACTTATATTAGGTACAAGTGCTGCTTGGACAATGACTAGGATTTCTATTCTAGCTCAGTCACCCAGCCTCGGCCTCCCTACTGGAGGGCTGCCGCGGCCTTGGCAACTTGCTAACCCCGCCGGGCTGCGGGGGGGGGGGGGGCTCAGCTGAACCGAGGGGACAGGCTGTGTGCACCAAGCCAGCCTGAGGCTGCGCACAGCCAGGCGTTGCGAGCCCTGAGGAGCTCTTGGTGGAAATGGAGGGTCTTTGAGAGGAGTCAGGGGTCAGGCGCGAGACCGAAGCTGGCACCCAGTCCCAGGGCTTACTTCTAGGATCTTCTGTCCCAAGAGGACACACGTGGATGCTTGGCAAACGCTGACAACACGCGCACGCTTTGTCGTGTTCGTTAGTTTCGTGAATGTCCACACACAATGGTGTCAGTGGTGATTTGCATTTTTATTTTAATAAAAAGGCTGCATTTGACCTGAACAGGAGTTACAAAATGGGGTTCTATGTTTTTTTTTTCGGGGAGGGGGTGGCTGAGTAAATTGGGCGGGTTTTTTTTTTTTTTTTTTTTTTTTTTTTTTTTTGCGAAGGGAACTTTCATTAAAGTAAGATTACGTTTACAAATGTGAAAGCCACATAGACCTCTGGTCAGTGAAAGCATCAGGTTTGACTTTCTGAGCATCCTGAGACGTTGGTGTTTTGTAATCATAGGGCACAGGCTATACGAGCTGGGTACTGAGACCCTTGACAACAGTTGGTGGCAGAGATGAAGGGAGCGGATGCTTAGCAGTGCTGTGTGCATTGCTGAAACCACTGACTGTTAATAGAGAATGTTGTTGCCCCTACCTCAGTATCTCCTTAACAATGTGAAAACTGCACGTGTGTTAATGCAGGCACACAAGCGGATACAGATTTTGGTTGTGTTATTAGCGAATGCGCTCATTTGGAAGCCTTGTAACTCGTTGGTATTAAAAGCTAAGTTTGAAGACGTTGGTGATGTTTTCTCTTTACTAATATGCCTGTCTCTCTTAGATGGGGGTCTGTTTACATTTAAGCTGTGTCAAATATCATTGTGATGGAGATTTAAACTGTGTGTAAGGTGGACAAAAGTATTTATATGGCTCAGTGGTACTCTTAAAGATAGAGTAATCAACCCTTCAAACCAAGCTTTTGCTAACGTTTATCCCGGTCTTCCTTTTGGGGAAAAAAAATTACATTTCTATTTGTGGACATATACTGACTGGAGGCGCCTTCTCTTTCTTCTTTGGGAAGCTAGAGTTATCTTTTTATGCTAGTGGGGAGAAGGGAAAGAAGGCTGTATACAAATGATTGTTTAGAAACATTGAAAACTTACAACTTTGAAGTTGGCAAGGTGTTCCTGTTTGCGCCCCCCCCCCCCCCCACTTTGGCTTTTGGAAAACACAGAGGCCAGGAGCAGACTGCCCTGGGAAAGGAATGGCTGTTGAGTTTATTTTGTGTGTGTTGAGAAGATTGTTTTTGCTACTGTGACACTGGCATTTCCTTCTTCCTACAGCTCTGAGGTAGCTGGCTGCCTTTCACCTGGTTTGGGAATACAATGAAACATTGGTAGAGCTAGATTGTAAGCTCCTTGAGGATAAAGTGAGCCCTCCCCCTTCTCACAAAAGACTTAACTTGAAGCCTTGGACATGACAACACGCTTACTTAATGAGTTACCAGTGTGGCTCACTGCCTTTAGCAAGCTTTGAAATTGTGTATGAAGCTACTGTCATGAAAAGGATGGAGAGCGTGATTCCAGAAAGGCAGGCTTTGATTGTAGCTCAGTGGCTGAGGTCTGGACCTGGATGGTCAAAGCTCGGGGTTCCATCCCCAGCCCCTGCCCTCCTGGGCTTGCATTTTCCTCTTGGTGTCCATCTCAGGGACCAAACCATCAAGTTTACGCATTCATTTTTTTTGTCCTGCTTCTTCAGCATCGCTCCCCTTTCTCTTTAGAATGCGTTTGGAGTTTAAGGCTCATTATCAGTCATTTATAGACTCTAGAAGTGGGCTAGGCTGCTTGTTCTTCCTTTTTATTCCAGACGTCAGAAATTGATTCAGCAGAAGGTAAAAGAATTAAGCTTTTGGTCCATGCAGATTTTATAATCCATGCATATTTCACTTGGAAAGTATTTTCCATCTTTACCCTTGTAAACTGTTAGGCAAAATAGCAAAGTTAGCTGTCTGTCTTTAGGCTTAGATTATTAGAAAAATATCTTCTGTAAAAAGACACTGATAAAAGCACGAGGAGAGGTAAATAGCATTGCTTAAGCAACCCTCTTCCATGGTGAGGAGCCAAGGAGTCGGCGAGCCATTCCTCTTTAACCCCATTTAAAAAAGCCAACTTGTCTTAAGTGTTGGCAGTGAAGTGCTTAATTCTACACAGGAGGGAGACTGATGTGTGATTCTTGGAAAACTCTGGCTTGCAGAAACAGAGCAGGATTGGCTCTCCATTCGACTCTGGTTTTGGGGATATATTAAGCCAGCAAAACTTTGTTAACGTGGGGCCCCCGACATAAGTTTAGTTTTGAATCTTTCAAGGATGCTAGTGAGGAAACTGTGGAAAGCTGACTAAAGTCTGTGCTGGGTTTGATAGCCTTGGGATGCCTACCGTTCCTTTATCAGTGTGGGTAATGTTACTCTGGTTACGAAAGGTGTTAGCACCATGGAAGCTATGTGGAGGGGGCACTTGAACTCTTGGTTCAGCTTTTGCAACTCCTGTGTGAGTATAAAGCAATTTCACAGTGCAGCCTTGCAGAGGACTGCTTACCCAGAGGCAGTGAGTGGATCTGTTTAGCAGGTTGATATGTTTTGTCCTTTTTAGATAACCTCTGTCATGACATTTTACATTTTGGGGCTGTATTCATGGGGTAATTGATAGGAAGAAATACTTCAAGTTTCAATCAGTGAGATGGAAAGGAGTATGTCAGGAAATGACTACAGCGTTATATTCTTGGTGTTGGGTGTTTGTGAAGAATTGCTTGAGCATAATAAATCGTCCTGTTGTGGGAAATTACAGGTTTTAGTCTATGTTGTATAGGGTTATTTTATGGGTTTTCAGATAAGAAACTCCTGGCATAGGGTGCAGGATGGATGCTTGGATACATAACTGGAATATTTCTAAATGTTTTTTTTCCTTAAGGAACTGGTGATTTTAATTATGTCTTCAGATGATATGAGCCATATATGAATGAATCATAGTCTTTAGATTTGGGAGAAGTTGGTTTTCCAATATCAATATATCCAGGAAAATTGTCTCCTAAAATCCATGGATATATTTAAGTCTCTCACAGACTGCAGTGAATTTTTCTGTGTTATTAGGGTGTCTGTATCCACTCTGTGGAGCAGCTGTGTTTTATATTAATATTGTTTATTTTGAGATTTTTGTTTTAGATTTCATTGCATTTCCTAAGATGCTATATTATTTAAATACTTGGAAGTATACACTTTTCCATTTCAGTAGGATGAGCAGGCATTTTAACTGAGTTAAATGTACTTTCACTTTTATAGTGATTATTTTTATGGGTGTGTGTCTGTTTACATATGCGCATGTCTGCCCATGTGTCTGCTGATACCCAAGGAGTCCAGAAGGGGGTATGAGATCTTCTGGGAGCTGGAGGTACAGATGGTTATAAACCATTGCACATAGGTGCTGAGAACCAAGCTCAGGTCCTTTCTGGAGTAGCAGGTGCTCTTAACTTTGAGCCATCTTTCTAGCCCCATGAGTTAAATACTTTTTATTTCTTAAGAACTTTCTAAATGTAAGACATTCTTGGGTGACATTTACAGCATAGTTTTCATTCATTCTAAGATTCCTACTTTTGAAAGCCAACCTTTCCCCCAATTTCCTCAGTTTTGTGTCTTTCTGTGTTCCTATCTCTGTGAATACATTGCAGGACTGCTAATAGGCTTATCTCATAAGCCAGGGAAGGTTTAATTATGGCCTCCTTTTCACATCACTAATGAAACATTTTTAAAAGATCCAAAATGCCGTGAGCCTTCTCTTGTAAGAGGACATAGCTTCTCTGGTACTGTAGACATTTTAGGTTTAGTCATCAGAAAGCCAGAATTCACCCTATAACTTTCACCAAAAGGGGAAAAAAAACACCAGAGAAAAATAAGTAGGGCTGTCTGTGTTGGGTGGGGAGAAGGAAGGATGTAGTCACCAAGTTTCCTGCCCCACAAAGTACCCCATTTCCCTTTGGTGGGGCAGCTGGCAAGTCCAGGGTATAATTAAGGGTCTGGGAGTGTGAGGGAGAAGAATAAAAACAGAAAGCAGGAGGAGGGGGGAAGTATTTAGTAAGATGGCAGG